ACATGGTGCCACGCATTTTATTCAAAATCTATTTTTAAATAAATAATCTGGTAGTTTATTCACTAATGTCCATATGATGCACAACACGCCAGATCCCTTGGATTTGATTACTAATGCGTTTTGACATTGATCCAATGGTCTACATATTTTTGGTTTCATTTTAATTTTCTGATTTTATGTTTTAGTTTTTTTAAACTTCAATAATTGATAAAAAAATTCATTTCAACTTCTAAAATTCTAAAAAAATTCTAAAAATACTTTTGATTTTTCTCTTTCTAATTCTTATTTTTTCATAATTTTATTTTATGATTTTTTATTTTTTATGGTTTTTCACTTTATTTGAATTGTTTTAATTTTAAAAAAATAATTTTCTTAATTTTTAAATTCTGGAAAAATTACGGAAGGATCCAATGACCTCTTGACAAATATTGGTGTCCTCAGTTTACTTTCATTTTTTTATTTTATTATTTTTCACAAATTATGGTTTATTTTGCTTATTTCTTTAAGTTTTAAAAATAGTTTCTGACTTTAAAAAATTTTGAAAATTTTTGTCAACACTTATTGACTAATGTTTGACCTCTGACTTTTTTAAAGATTTTTATTTGGTGTTTTAATACATTTTGTGTATTTTAACAATTATTTCCCTTTTATTAATCATTTAAATATTGTTTTATTAAATATATTTTTATTATTTTTGTTTGGTCCTGATTTGGGTGTTATTTTAGGACAAGTTCATGAACTTCATTTGATCTTGGGTGTTGTTAGGTTGAAAAACCAAATCCACCAAAATGGATTAATGATATTGATGATATTTGAAACCCTAATTTCATCTGATACATCCCCTCCCACTTTATCTTATCCATTTCTTACTTGTGCTACATGTTGTTGGAGAATGATCTATATGTTAATTCTCTAACATGTGGTATATAGATTGTTATTGACCGACCTCAAAATAGGCGTGACTTTTACATAAGTCCACTTACGATTTCTTAACATAGTGCTAAATTTATCCTAATTCAAAAAATTGATCATTCGTGGCCCAAACCTATGTTTGCAAGCCTAAGTCTGTTTAATTTGAAATCTTTGATCCAATAACCTTGAGGTTCTTTGTTAGAAGGCTTTGATCTTATCAATCCTCTAATGAATTTTCATGAATTTTGGTCTAAGTGAATCATTTAAACATCATTGATCATATATGCTTACCTTGAGTACTTGAATTGAATGATATACATGACAAAAAGAAAATGATACTTGTTGTTGAAAAGCTTTGATTTTTTCAATATTTTAATGAGTTTTCAAATGCAAGTTTCAAGATGGTCATTCTACTAACCCCTAACTTCTAATTAATTAATAATTGACATTATTTTGTGCTTTTACTTTGTGTTTTTACATTGTGCTTTTACATTATGTCCTTTATTTTATGTCTTTACTTTTATGCACCATTTACTTTAACGTTTACATTTCATGCTATTTTCATCTTCGCTCATTTGAGCATTTATATTTATGTCATTTTATTTTTGCTTATTTGAGCATTTATCTTTATGTCTCTTTTATTTTTGCTCACTTGAGCTTTCTTTTCATTTTGAAGACACTTAATAACCAACTTCAGCATTAAATACTTTAAGGTTACTCGGACTATTTGGTTACCATCCATGGCATTATGGAGTTGTGGACCTCTTATACCTAGGATTAGAAGCCTTTATTACCCTTGGGACCTTGCAACTCAGTTGTTATTTTTTCAGGAGTTCTTGGGGTTGACCCCAAGATATTAGGTTGATTTTCTTTGTGTGCATGTTATTCTGATTATGTGCTTGGTCAATTGGAAATTCATTTGTATACAGCTGTTACTCTGCCCAATTTTTGTGAAGACTTGATTTATCTGAAGCTTGGTATTCCTAAGAGGTTTATTATTTTTTTTCTTACATAGTTTCAATCTGAAGGATGGGAATTCTACATTGACTCTTGATGTCAATTGTTGGCTTCTTATTGGTTGGATCATTCTTTTCCTTAGCTTTTACCTTATACTTTAGGGTAGTCCCTTCATCTCCTCCCATATTCTTTAATTTCATAAATCATCTCCCTCCTTTTCAAAACTCCTCTTGTTTTCTAACTTGAACCGCTTTCATAATAAACTTGGAATTAGGTCCATGCATTTTTAAAAAACTTTTCTTAATCAAAATTTAATCAATTTAATCATACTTTGACATTTTTTATGAGAAAACTAAAATTCAATCAAACTCATTCAAACCATTTGGCTACTTTGACTTTTTACTTTAAAACTTTTCTCAAAATATTAGACTTTTTTAGTTCCTTGTAGTGGTGCGAGCTACTATACTTCTATGATATGTAGTGAAGTGAGATATTTTCCACTTGGGTGTTTAGTGAGGCTTTGTTGATTTAAAAATCCAAGCCATATCCTCCAATTTGAAATGACGCAAATACCCATTTCACATAATTGTGGGTAGTAAGTATGTTTTCCACTCGGATATGACGATGATGTCTCTTCTCTTAAAATTAACCAACACACATGTGTTTTACAATTTTTTTAGGTGAACTACGAGTACCCTGATCCTCTATTGCATGGAAGGTGGTACGTAGGCACTAAAGGTTCACAACCGGGGCGGTGCAAAAATTATAAAAAATACTTCTTTTCTCATCTCCACCATCTATTTTTGTATACATCATTTATATTAAAAATACACAAATTTTCAAAGAGGTTCATGTGGAGTACCCTAGATGTTTGGGGTTCTAATACCCTCCCTTTGCATAACCAAGCCATGTACATAGATTATCTCCCCCTCTTTTTTGGGTTTATTCGCTATTTTCCTATTCCTATGGAAATAATAAAGTGTGGTGGAAATTTTTATTTGATTTTTGTAACTCAAGTCAACCCAAATGGCTTAGTCTCAATATTTCTATGCTACATCCCCCACAAGAGTTTTCTCCAAGTTTACACCTCCAACTATAAGGGTTTCAAAGACTGATTTCTAAAGGTGAAGTGTGGACCGAGATGTTCCCAGGTGCTATACTGTTTAGATGGGCACCCATGCTTCCCTCTATACTGGTCGTGGGGTCCTTCCACTATCTCTGCCTTCAAATTTGATAAACGCAGTGATCTGGAGGTTCAAGCCTTGAACATGCTTGACTCCTTTTAGATGATGAATATTAAGGATTTGTTGCCCCTATATGCAAAATAGATCCCAAATTTTCTTGGTAATAGTTTTTTCTTCTTATTACCAAACGTGCATATCTATTAAATATAATCATATTGTCTTTTTCTTTCTTCACAAATCAGATGACAGATCTCTCTGTAGTCGAGCAAAAGAAACTGATGCTGGAAGCCAGAGCTTCCCGGAAAGGAGTAGGTGGATCTCCGACGATTAAGTCTGATCTTGTCGGGTTGGAAACCCGGACCTTGAAGAGGAGGAAGGTGGCGGTCACTAATGCCACTTCGATCATGGTCAAACCACAGACTTTTGCTTCATCCATTATGAGTGCAGGCGACTGTCGAGCTGGTCTAGAAATAACCTCAATTATGAGAGAACCCAAAGATACCCAGGCGTCTAGAGAATTTAATTATGGTCCAATAACTTTGATGGACTCTGCTTCCTCTACGACAATCTCAATGCTATTGAAGGCGTCGATAAGGTAAAGACCATAGGCCGTCAGAAGATGACACATAACCTTAGTTCTTAACTTATGAGGTGTGGAATTCTGATTCATGGTTTTTTGAGTCCAATGATGATATTAAGAAGACAAAGTTGAAGCTTAAGGAGGAGATAACCGGGATAAAGGAATTCCAGAAAACTCAATCTGAAAAGCTAACCGACTTAAATAAAAGTTTAACCAAAGAGAAGGAGAAAAGGGAGATTTTGGAAACTGAGAGCAAGGTATCTCTTACCCAGCTCAATGAGAGATTGAAAGTAGAAAAGGCCATTAATGATGAGCTGAAGGTCACTACCGACAAACTAAAAGAGGCTCTCATGAAATCTCAAGTAAGTATCCTCTCTGCTGGTGAAGAAGCCTTCGAACGGGATTAGGACCAGATATTGTGCCTTCATCTCAGCTTGGATTTGGCAAAGATGGATTACTTCAAGGTGATGCAGGATGTACGCCTTGTGGATCTTGAGGAGGTAGACAAGACTCCCCCTCCTCCTCTGAATCTTGAAGATCCTTCTCGTGGTAAGAACAACAATGATCGTGACGGGAAGGAGAACCGGACCGTATGATGTTGTTTTCTTATCTGTGTTTCTGTTAGTCATCCGATAAGAATGCATTTTTTAATTTTGTATATGGAATGGTTAATCCCCCCCCCCCCCTTTGTTTACAATTATGACATCTTCCTCTGAGCTTTGTACTTTTAACTTCCTTTTATGACTGATGTAATCGTCATATCATTGCTTTTTGATTACATTATTAGCTTTAACTTTTTGCTTTCATTTTTAGCTTTTCCTTTTTGCATGCATTTTTAGATTTCTACTAAATAATCTCCTGTGTATATCTAATCCCCCCGGGAAAAAAGTCCTCTAGGTTATATGTGTCTGATCATGTAGTGTTGGGCATTATTTTGTATTTAAGATCCCCAATGACATTTTTATGACATTCATTTGATATTTTTGAATGACTTATAGCCACTGGCGGGTTCTAAACTCGCACTTATCTTTGATGTTGAAAGTCTTCCAAGATATAGAGACCACCACGAAGTCCATTCATCTAGGACTTATCACGAGCAACACACTTTTTGGATGCAAGGTCTTAGTAGTAGTCACTTTAGGCGCTATATACCAAGCCTTGTGTTTTTCAACTATTTTTATGAAATCATTTTTGGTGTACCCTTTAAGAGACCTAGGCTTGTATGGGGTTGGGTGATTTATTTACTTTACGTTTTGGGCTAACTAGCCCGTAGTGAATGTTGGTTCAGAGCCTCTTTTGCATTAAGGCAAGGTTGACTGAGTTGTGGTTTAGAGTCTCTTTTTCCCTAAGGCAACATTGACCGAGTTATGATTCAGAGCCCCTTTTTCCCTGAGGCGAGGTTGACCGAGTTGAATTTTAGAACCCCTTTTCCTGAAGGCAAGGTTGACCGAGTTGTGGTTCAAAACCCTTTTTGCCCTCAGGCGAGGTTAACTGAGTTGCGATTCAGAGCCCTTTTTGACCTAAGGCAAGGTTGACCGGTTTATGGTCCAGAGCCCCTTTTCCCTAAGGAGAGGTTGACCGAGTTGCAGTTCAGAGCCCATTTTCCCGAAGGCGAGGTTGACCGACTTATGGTTCATAGCCTCTTTTCTTGAAAGCGAGGTTGACCAAGTTGCAGTTCAGAGCCCATTTTCCTCACGGCGAGGTTGACTAACTTATCGTTCAGAGCCCCTTTTTCCCTATGGTGAGGTTCACCGAGTTGCGGTTTAGAGCCCTTTTGCGTGAAGGCAAGGTTGATCGGCTTGTGGTTCAAGGCCCCTTTTCCCAAATGCGAGGTTAACCAAGTTGCAGTTCAGAGCCCTTTTGCCCAAAGGTGAAGTTGACCGGCTTGTGGTTCAGAGCCCCTTTTGCCCTTTAGAGAGGTTGACCGAGTTATGATTCAGAGCCCCTTTGCCCGAAGGCGGGGTTGACCGAGTTGTGGTTCAGAGCCCCTTTTACCCTAAGGTGAGGTTTACCGAGTGAAACAACCGACTGAAAATCATCAAACAATGAAGTCACCATTGAACGTCTTTTATCCCACATGAATGGAAAATTAAACATCAAGAAAACCTAATAAGGGAGAAGTCACGGTCTTGCGACTGAAAGATCGGGTAAGGGAGTCTGCTGCGCTAGGGGAAGGTATTATCACCCCATACGGCCGTAGTACTCTATGGTATCCAATCTTGTTATCTTTCTTATGGGTGTATTTAATCTATGCTTACTTATTAATAATGAGGAAGAATGCATGCAAAAGAAAGGAGAAAACAATGTAGGGAAAATAAAGTTATGCTTCCTTGGGCCCTACCCCAATGCTTACGTGTCCCTTTTGAGGAATCAGAGTTATCGTAGTTCGAATCACATGTTTTTGTTTGTTTCATGTTTTTTATGAACAATGTTAATTCCACCTTCCGCCACAGCTCGACTTTTGGAGACTCACGCGTTGGTACATAAGTAAATTAACATGTCCTTACCTGAAGATGGTTTTGAGTTACGCCCTCAAAGAAAGGTGCCACATTTGATTGGTTTGTGTTTTGTTACCTTGAAAAAGCGTTTAACTGTGATTAATATGTTTTATGATTTACCAATAAAAACAAAGTTTTAGTTTTAAATGCATATGAAAAAGAGGAATAAAAGAGTCTACGGGAGACTAGCCTATTTCTAATCCTAATGTTATCATACAATGGTACCCCTAAAGTTTGAATTAACAAAATGGATATGTCTACCTAATGTTAGCATGCATGGTTTGCAACTTAAGGTATCACTTGCATTCGAAAGAAACAAGCATATCTAAAGGGAACATGGTATAGAAAGCAAGTTAGCAAACAAGCTCGAAAGAGCACACACATGCTACGAGTAGCTCACACTAACTCGAGTAAAGGCCTAACCATGATATAATTGATCGAGGTAGGCGGCAGAAGACAATATGAAGGATCATGGAGTGTTAACATCAGCGAATGCTAACTCTTGACAAAGTGTGGGGGTTTGATTGCAAAACCCTTCCCCACTTGACGGACTCGACACACATGATCTTGGGAACATCTTCGAAGCTTGGAACTTGTAGAAAGTGAGCATAGGAATGAAACAGACAAAAACTGGTGGGAGATTATTGCTAACCCTTTCCACTTGCCTCTTTTTGAGGACTTAGGAATGGTTGCAATAAAAGGACCTAAAACCATTATCCCGCTATACAAGAACAAGTTTAAATACACATGCGGAATACCTACTTCAAAGGTAACACATATAGCACACCGAATGCACGCAATGCGGAATTGCCCTATATGGGTCTTTAAATAAACCAGAGGGATTCCTGACATGATCAACAACGGAGATCCCATCATACATCTCTACCCTACTTCTCATGGCAAGGAAAGCAGTAAAGCCCTACTTCTTATGATTTCTAGAAGCTGTAGAGAAATATGATCAAGTGCAGAAATGAGGAATAAAATCACGATGATACCTAACGGAGAAGGTATGTTGCCTCTTAGAAACCATGCAAGCAAAAAGAAAACTCTACAGAATCTTCTCCACACAAGTGATCAAAAAAATAAATCCTCGAGCATCTCATATCACAAATACTTATCTAAAAATGACAACAAAAATGATTATCAAACATGAAAATAATATAAAACTCTAATGAAATTTCTAAGGAGAGATCCTAAAGTATAATAAAACCTTCCTACTAGTTATTTTTTATGCAATTTTATCACCATCATAAATAAAAGATCAAAATTATGAAAAGAAAATTAAAAGTGAAAACCATTAAGATTCCAAACACGGTGTCTCAGCTTAATATTGGTGTTTGGTGCAGAAAAATCTGGTACTAAGGCCCAACCAAATATGGCCCAGAAGAAGTTTTTGTGTCAACATCAAGTCACCAAAAAACATCCAACGGGTCTAAGGGAATGTGATCCGGCCCAGGCTCATCACCACTAACCTGTTATCCTCATCATAATGTTATTATCTTGAATAATAATAAAAAATCTAATTAAATAAAAAATATGAAAATGTATGAAGAATTTTAGGGTTGAAATGGTTGTTACTCTTGAGCCTTCACGCAAAAATGGATGCTCCTTCTTCTTCATCAAAGCTGCGAATGGCGCCGATTCCCGGCCCAACTTCCTTTGTCGCTCTCAAACTTCTTCACCACTCTCAAACTTATTCACCGCTCTCAAACTTCTTCACCGCTCGAAATCTTCAATGTCTTAACTCGTTCACGATAAAAGCATCAGCGACGTCGTCGCGCTTAAAGCTCTGTCTCGCTCTCTCGATGATCTGTGGAGGGTTCAAGAACTTCTTCCCCTATTGGAATCAAATAATGATTTCGTCGTTCTTCCATAATTCTGTCTTATTTTGTGTTCTCAAAGATTCATTGTTGTGCATTGTTCTTCTTGCAGATGAAAAATAATGATGGTGACGATGTTGTTGTTACACTGATTGTTATTGCAGTTGATGTGAACGAAGAGATGGCACTAAAGGTGACACGATGAAGATGATCCTAATGTGAAGTTTCAATGATGATTAATGCTGAGAAAGAGAGAGAGAGAAAATAATTGAAGATTATGAAATCTTGATGGTGGACCAATGAATATCAGTGATGCAGGTGACGATGAATCGTGTGTAGAGGATTTGTTGATGCAGTTGTTCTTGATCTAGAAGCCATGATGGTGATGCTGATGTATGATGAATCTGCGAGCGGAATGATGAAGAGGAAGCAGTTCTACTCGAAGATTGAGATAAAATCCAGATTCAACCCAGTTCTTGTTGAAGATTATTGAGGCTTAAAGGTGACTGAAGCAGCTTTCAGAGAGAGAGAATACAAACCTTCTTGGTGAGTTTTCTATCTGATTTTTCTATGAATCAATCAATTGTGAATCTTTGTGAATGAGTTCTCATTGTGACGTTGGTTGAAGGAATCGTGTTCTATTCAGAGGGGTGAAAGAGATGAAGGAGAATTAAGAAGGTTGTGAATTTGTTGTGATTTTCCCTGCGAAAGGGTAGAGTGAATTGTGAATCTTGTAATTTTCTATTATATCTTTCTCTGGGAATTTGTTGCAATATGTTTTTTGAGAATTTTGTTAGTTTTTTATGCTGATGAATGAATCGTATCCCTCCCATCTCTTTCTGTCATCCTGTTCTCTTTTATTATGTTTCTATTGAGAAAATGGTTAGAAGTTTAAGATTTTGTTTTCTGTTAGGATGTTTTTTCTGTTATAGGGGTTTGTTAAGAATTTGTTAAAAATCTATTAGAAGTTGGTTATAGGTTAGTTGGACTGTTATGGGATGAGCTGAAAAATCAGTTATGACAGTTACTTGGATAATTAGGTGGAAACTGTTAGGTAGCTGGAGTTAGAAAATTTTGGTTGGAAAAATGTTAAAAAATTATGTTTTGAAGTTGGAATTCGATTAGGGGTTCTTTTTTTTCTATGAATTTTCCGTGTGAAACAAAATGTGAACTCCCTCCTCCTTTTCTGGTGTATTCTGTTGTGCAGACTAGAAAGTTTGTTAGTTGTGTAGAAAGTATTGCGCTAACTGGTTTTTGTGATGATGATTTCTCCCCTGTGGCAGCAGGTTCGGTAGATACAATATCCATTTTTTCGTTGTAGCGACGACACAGTTTAATGATGCGCAAACCATGATTGAAGCATAAACACAAGTGATGAAAGTTTCACACATGAAATCTTTGTACGTGAGGGTAATTTTGACATGATGGATATGTGCACATGGAGAAACTTTGGATATAGAAGAAAACATGAAGATGTATTAAGAATTGAGGTTGAAAATGTAATTCGATGATATGAAGTTGTAATTTTAGTTTGTAATTTCATGCTAGTCTTAGTTGTGTAATATGGTGTAATGGTTTAAATTACATATGTAGCTTTGAAAATTCAATGGTAATGACTGTAATACCCTAAATTTGTCCTACCCATTTACTTTTATTTGGCATATGCATTTTTCATTTTCTCATAACTCCCATTATGTAATCTAACACATCATTCATTCATTAATCAATAAAGCATGGCATGTGATCAAAGATATTGAGGAATTAGGGTATCTATATGCTTTTAAGCTCTTATCTTCACTCATGTTTAAATCAACTGGTTCTTTCATCAATCAGGTTTTGTTTGAAGCTAGGGTTTCAATTCATGGATTTCTTTATCACCAAGCTATAGGGTCATTCTCCTCTTCCTAACATCAAATTACAAGGCTTGCTCACATCATCTAGAGCTCCTCTTCCTCAATATTCTTGTTGTGTTCTTCAACATATAAGGTGGTTGTGATTGCTTACTACATAAGTCATCATATAAGGTCGCCTAAAGGTTACCAGTTCAGGTATTTAGCATCTTCTTATATCTGTCATCATCATCACTCGATAAGGCTTTGTTTTCCTAAGCATGTGGACTTTAAAGAGGGATTGCACTAAGAGTTGTTCATCAGATAAGTCTTACATTCTCAAGGATTCAACTCATGATTCAAAAATCACAAGACATGGAGAGTGTACTTATGGTATGTTAGGGTTTTGGTTCAAGAAATTTCAATATGCAACACAAGGCAAAGATATCTTCAGAGGATCCCATCCATGGGACATTAGGGTTTGTGGATATCTTAATGCAAGATATTTCATCTGAATGCTTGGTTTACTTGTGTTACGAGATTCTTTTGAGTTCATTCCGAATTACATTAAACCATAGACTCAATGCTTATTATGAAGTATTAGATTATGAGTTAAGGGTTGAAGTTCTTATAATAATGATCATTCAGTCATTTTGGCATAATCAAAGTGCAATAATACATTCAAGGGATAATTCAAAGGTCGAGTTTGATTCAAAGTCCAAGTAACTCGAACTCAAAGTTTTGTGCATGATTCTTCAACTAAGCGTTTTCTTCAAAGGCAAATTAGTGAGAATTGGAGATTGGAACATGGGGATTGAAGTCTCTCAAAATTGCAAGAGTGGCGTGTAAAATTGATGCAAGCTTCTAATGAATTTTTTGGATTCAAGTTTCAGAAAAGCATGATATATCAAAAAAAAGAAAATACCAATATCTCATTAAAATTCATCCATGTTCCAAATATTAAAAAACCACACAAATACGAGTCTGGTTGCTATTACATCATTTGACATTATTATATTACATAGACGGGAAGGATTAAAAATTTCACAAAAGAAAACTATCCTAAACCTATGCGCCGTTCATCTTCATCTTCATGACATGTTTTGAATCTTCACTCATTCATAACCATGAACCATGCTTTGCCTTCATAACCATGAGCCATTCCTCAAAATCTTCATGAACCAAAACATGTCTGCGCCGTCCGCACCTTCCTTTTCCATAAACAAGCCCTGCATATTAGTCATAGAAAAACATAAAATCAGTCCATAACCAATAAACCAAAACAACCATTAACTTATTCCCGTTTCATAGCTAACTTCAAACCATAACCAATTGTCCATAACAAAATTCTAATTGTCAAGAACCAACTTCCTCTTATTGAAGCCTAACAAAATTCCAGTTTCCCTAACAGTTTTCAAACTTCCAACCCAACAACTAACAACTCCCTCAATAACAGGAAAAACCAAAACTCCTCTAACTGAAACAAAACTGTCCATAACGGAAAACCAACTTCCTGATAACCCCTAATTAACCAACATAAAACCACCCTGCATAATAGAAACCTCATAGCAGATTTACCATCCCAAACAGCCTAACATAATTCTAACTCCCTCTCCTAACTGAAACATAATATTCTAATTCCTCATAAACCTATAACCATCTCATAACCGAATCCCCACTAACCCCTAACAAACTTCTAAACAACCCATTAACTTCCTCTCTAACAGATTCCCATTCTTTCAAAATCAGTCCAACTAACTTATAAAAATTCCTAACAGAAATATAACAGAATTCAGGAATCTCTAACTTCCTAACCGTTTCATAATAGTTTCAAAATGGAATTTCCCAAAACTATATCAGCCGCTAACCAACCAATTCCAAACGGCCCTAGAAACTATCAGTAGAATTTCACAACAGAACTACAAAACTCCAAAACAGAAAAACAGAAAAGGAGAGTTCAAAATTAAAACAGGTAACAGAAAATTCACCAGAAAAGGAAGAGGAAAAAGAAAAAGACAAGAACTCACCTTCAATCTGGATTTTGGTTGTTCAACCTTTCTCTCTGAATTTGATCTCCACCCTCATCTTCTCAGGATCTAAGCATTTCAACCTTCTTCTCCTTAGAACTCCACCAGCAATAAGTGAACATTGTTGCAGCTCCGTGTCATCATGAACCTCCAAGCAATAGTTTCTTCAAGCTCCACCTTCAACGACTCCAACCTTCTGCAAAAAGGCACGATTTCAGTATCAACGGTGTCGATTGATAGTGTAACAATAACAATAACGAATTCGCGTCAATTCATCAAGAACCACAACACGTATTCATAAAATGCAAAAGGTAAGAACAAAGCGAAGAGACGTCATGGAAATGGTAGTATATCTGAAAGAGCCTCTGGATTTTTGTTCTGTTGTCGATGTTGGTGCGAATCCGACAGATAGGTTGTTCTCTCTCCACATTCATCTCTGTTCTGTATTCTTTGCTAGTATGGTGAGGGTGGCGATCGGTGCTACGCGACAATGATTGAAGGATAACTGCAGCATGGTATTCGTCAAAGAAGAACAAGGCGGAATGCTGAAGCCGCACCGTTTTGAAGATGAATAATGGAGGAGAAGTCGCTCCGTTCAATGAGAATAAAGGGGATAGTGTTTTCTTCGTGGATCTGAAAGGCCGCAAAATTATAACCCTAATTCCCTTTTCAATATTTCCTTTACATAATTTATTTACGAGTATTTTTTCAATTTAGAAGATAAAAGTGCAATTTTTTTGTTGGAATGTTGATACAATGGTTGGATAGACCGAATCATCTCTTGGTCTTGGCCCAAAATTATCTTTTTTTTACAGCTTCTTGGTTTGTCAACAAAAAGGCATAATGGGCTCAAATATAATGGGCTTAGCACCCAAAATCCCATTGTTATAGTAAACCATTGATTCCAAGCTGTACCTCCTGATTTCTTTAATTTCTTTTTTTACTTGTTTCAATATTATTTTGTGTGATATTATTGAACAAAAGAGATTTGAGTAAGGAAGTTCAAAGAAGCTTTTTATAGAGTTTTCTCTCTGCTTGCACGGTTTCGAAGAGGCGGCGGACCTCCTGCGTTCGGTAATATCACAACCTCATTTTATTCCTTATTTCTGCACTTTACCATTTTTCTAGGTACCATGAGAAGTAGGAAATAAAGAGCAAGCACTCGAAGTCGCTGTTTAAAGACCTGTAGCAGGAATTCCACACTTCATTTTCTATATGTATTGTGCTTGTGTTTGCTTTGTTTGTTGATCGATGAGTCACTCAATTTATAAATTGAGATCACGACTTCGCTCTCAGTGCATGCTCCCTATAGGATTTTATCGCTTTCCTTTATTTCTTCTTGATCGATGAGTCACTCAATTTAGAAATTGAGATCACGACTTTGCTCTCATTGCATGTTCCCTATAGGATAGTTTTGTTAGACTTTCCTTGGCATGTTAACCTAGATAGTATCTCTTTAGGTGTGCTCTTTTGCGTTTATGGGCTTGTTTGCTTTATCCTTGTACATACCATGTTCCCTTAGGATGTGCTTGGTCCGTTCGGTTGCAAGTTAGACCTTAGGTTGCAAACCATGCATGCTAACATTAGGTAGACGTTTCCCTTTTGTTAATCCTTGACTTAGGGCTACCATTGTATGATAACATTAGGTTAGAAATAGGCTAGTCTCCCTTAGACTCTTTTATTCCCCTTTTTGCATCCTTGCATCTAAAACTAAAACTTCTTTTTTTAGAAAATCAAAAACATGTTAATCACACATAAACCCTTTTTTCAAGGTAACAAAATACAAACCAACTCAAATCTTTTTGTGCGTCCAAGAACCATTTCTCTAAAACCCTTTTTAGGTAAGGACATGATTAATTTACTTCTGTGTCAACGCATAAGTCTCCAAAGGTCGAGTTGCGGCAGAAGGCAGAATGAACATTGTCTGTAAAAAACACAAACAAACAAAACTTGTGAGCCGAACTACGGTAGATATGATTCCTCAAAAGGATACGTAGGCATTGGGGTAAGGCCCAAGCAAGTACAATTTTATTTTCCCTACATTCTTTTCTCCTTTCTTTTGCATGCATTCTCTCTTTAGTAGTATAATAAACAGTAAGCATAATTTAGACACACCCATAAGATAGACAATAAGAGTGGATACGGTAGAGTACTACGGGCGTGTGGGGTGCTAATACCTTCCCCTCGCGTAACAGATTCCCTTACCCGATCTCTCGGTCATAAGACTGTGAATTCTCCCTTCTCAGGTTTTCTTGATGTTCACCTTTCCCTTCATGTGGGATAAAATACGTTCAATGGTGACTTTATTGTTTGATGATTTTTAGCCGGTTGTTTCAGCTGGCGACTTCACTGGGGACAGGTCGACCAAATGTTGGTTCATCCTGGAGTCTCTCCTAGCTCTTTCTTTCTTTTCTTTGGGTGTTTAGTTTTATGCTTTCAGTTTATTCCCTCA